GTGCAGGTCTGTTACCACAGGCCATTTTCATTAGTGCACAAAGAAAAATCCCCCCATGCCTGGACTTACAAACACCTGGTTAAAGACTGTTCGCTGTCATGGAGAATGTATTTTCTCACCCGTTGTTTGCCGACATGAAAAAACAAAAAAGGAGCCTCTATGGTAAGCAAACAGAAGACGCCACCTTTCACAGCGTGACCCCCAGTTCTCACTGCGTTCTCCGCATTTTATTTATCTTGATAACTACTGCACTGAAGTAAATAACGCCAATTATTACAAATGACCTACGGTGTTCTAACTGTGAAAATCCAGGGTCTTCTTAGGGTAAAAAAGTAAATATTAACTGATGCTCTGGAGCTCGGGAACCAAGTGGAAAATTTTACATGGAAAGCAATGGAAGTTTTGGTTTCCATTGACGACGTTTTTTCCAGGAACTAATCATGTTCCTAAACCGAGAGATGCAAATGAAGAATAAAGTGCCACCTAAAACAAAAAGTGTTTCTAGGCCAGGAAGAGGGTCTTGTTTACCTGAGGGGCCTCAGGTGTGTCCAGGATGAGGTCTGGAAGGTCTGTCAACATCTTGTCGAACGCCCGCGCCATGTCGTCTTCTGACAGGACTCTGCCCACGAGGTCAGACAGCAGGCGTGACATCAGCTCCCGGTGGCTGGCCTTGCCCTCCAGGGCTAGCACCACTGCCAGCGACGAGAACTCGTATTTGTTAGGTCCCAGGTTCAACTCCTTTAACAGAGCCTGCAACAACAGAAAACAGGACTGTTGTTGCTCCATGTCTTCACCACCAGTGCATTCTGGGAAACACAGACATGTGCATCATCTCATACTTGAAATGGCTGTAAAACCAAATACAGCAGGAGCTGTTTCTTTGAGACACCCCAGAGAAGTGAAGGACTGTCCTGCTTCAGACGACATTCCTGCTAAAGTGAAGAGCAGTTAGACAATACTAGAAGTCGGATTAATTAGTAGATAACGATTGAAAAGACTTGCAGGAATATTTAAAGGGAACTGCAATGCTATTTTCATATTTCAGGATTAGAAAATCAGCATTGACAAGTGCATTTCAAACCGTAATAAAAGTCAAATGTACACAAGTAACTTGTAAATTTTCAGGTACAGTTTGTGCAGCACCATGTTCTGTCACTCAGAAGGAGGAAACAAAACTTGCAGTGACATGTTGCGGCCCTATTACCTTGAAAACAAGCAGGCTTGTGAATACACCCCTTTTAATCCAAGAGAAATATTGCTCTCGACTTTGAGACGGTTTTGCCGACAAATACCACTTCTAAACATTGGAACATTTCTGCAGTGAAATGTCTGCTGCACAGCCAGTACTTATTTGCTCGTACATCACAGTACACTAGTCTATTACAGGGACTAGCGAGCGAGAAGGGCTACAAATTGAGCTTGCAACAACATGGCGACTTACAGTACTTTCACAAAGTTCATGGTTCCGTGCCTAATTCAAAATTTGTAATTATTCTCTAAACGTCAACAAATGTATTTTTTTACCGAGACATACAGTAATGACCTGTCTGAGAAGCTGGGACTGCAGTCCCCCTTTAACAGCTCCATACCTACCCGCCAGACAGTGCAGGTTTGAGAGACTGGTTGAAATTGTGACAAAAGTTGCCAAGTAAAAATATCACAAAATATTCATGATGCACCTTTAGGCCCAGTGTACGGGATTATAAAATACTCAAAATTGAATTAAAAACAGGAAGGCTAGGATAATTTGAAGCCAGCACTAAAATAACGGTGCTGCTCAGCCTTGCGGGCACGAACTGAAAAAAAAACACACTACTTGGCTCTGGGCAGGAGCACGTTCAGGAAAGAAAGCAAGTGCGGTTCTCACCCCACCCACACTGGTACAAGCCAAACTGATTAACAACTGCAGACACCAAACTGGCGATTTCCAAGAGTAATGTGAACAACAACAACAACAGCTCCACCTGAACTGTGTCACACAAGTCATTTTCCACCTCTGTGGTTCCACCTGTGAAAAGCTGTAGAAAGGTGCTTCGATTTTCCACTCCCTCTTAAAGAATCTCATGTGCAAAGCTATTCCAAAGACTGTTTAAAATAATTAGTCCGGAAGCAGCGTGCATTTATAAGACCTCTAAGCTTAGTTAAATTAAAACCGATTCTAAAAATAAAAACTGTTG